TTGGTAGAATATATTTAGATAATGACAGAATTTCGTTATTAGTAATTAGATGATGGAAATTTGATCCTGTAAATAAGGATACAATGGGAGAACAATGGCATTCGATGTTGGCCGATCCTGCCAAATAGTGGATAAAGGCTTTGTTTGTTGTGTCGTATCAGTAGTTATTTGTTTGTTATCTTTAGCTGCGAGAGAGAGGTGTCTATCACCAAGACTATTTTTACGAATAACGTGGTTGTTTCTTTTGATATGTGTCAGCACATTCATTTTACAAATATGTCCTTAATATAATAGTTAATTAATTTTCTATACCTACACATAGTAATGTTCTTATTGAATTACACAATCAATATCTTAAGATTGAAATGATTACCCCAAAATATATTTTTTTGTGTCTTTATAGAGAATAAGGTGAAGACTAGATTTATATTTATTTGGTATTTAATTATATATAATGTAATGGTTATAAAATAATATAAATAGATCATGAATAAATTATAAATATATTATATCATTTATACTATTACGATATATAAATAGGTATACTATATAGTACTATAACTAGTATATTATATATATATTATATAATGTAGTGAGTATATACTATAATATATTTTGTGTGTGTGTTTATGTTAATTGTATCTGAGTTGATACTGCCCATTTTTCTGTTTGTTTGATTTTATTTAATTTATTATAAAGTTTTTTTTTTTTTAATGGTTTTGCTTTAATGTCTAGATTTTAGCATTCACTCTTATAACTAATTTTAATTATTTCTTACGAACAAATGTCCTTTCAAATTGTCAATAGTACTAAAGGGAACATATCCTTTAACACAGATTCGGGGTGGTAATGTCTAGATGTTTGGATTTGAATATAATTTAATTGATTTAAATCGTGAAATTTCTAAGCCATTTAGCATAGATAGCTCATGATAGAATTTTATTGATGAATATGATATCATTTTGTTGCAATACTTACTCATGTATGATGATGTATTTTTTTTATTAATCATATATAATATATGATGATGAATTCATCGCATACAGTTTACGGCGTGCACTAGGAATATCACTAAGACGGTATGAGAATATATTATTGTCATGTCTTAGTCATTATACGAGAGATCCAGCACAACAATCAGATCAAGTGAAGAGTGTAGGCATTTTCATAAGAGAGCACACAGAGATTTTTAACGTGGAAAACCCCGCTGAAAAGGGGAAAAAACCATGAGGGCCTGACGCGCAGTTGAATGAATCAACTATAGTTGCAGTCGATTAAAATGAGGCTCTTCCTTTGGAACGAAGGCCTGTATTGATTGTATGCAACTATAGCATATATAGATTGCATTACAAATGGTATAAAGGAGTACATATAGCAATGTCTGTTTGGTCGGCAAGAACCGTAGTCGGCAGGAGACCGGGGTCAGAAAGATCGTGTGTCTGGTTGATGGAGGTCGGTACGTAAAGCCTCGGTATGATAGGCGTCGAGGTCGAAATGACCGGTAGTAGGCGACCGGGGCGAAGGACGATAAGTCGAGAAACAGGAGACGGGGTCAAAAGGACCGAGTGTTAGGTTTGTTGAGGAGGTCGGAAGGACATATAGAAGGAGCGGAGTCGAAAGGTACGCTGAGTCGGGCGAGACCGGGGTCAAGAAAAGACCGTTGTTTGTATAGGGCGTACAACGGTTGATACTGCTAAATGTCATGCCTCCGAGATCATAACTTGAGAAAGAATTTCCGATAACAACTCCGCCATTTACCCAAGAGTCATCTCAAAAAACATCCATCAATGTCACAAATCTAATTAAAAAGTCTAGTAATAATGAAACATCAATAACAAGTCGATCTCATATCTCAAAAGTTCATATACAGATAACTCAGGAACTACACATAACCGACAAGTATGAAAGTTCTAATCTGTCCTGAGTCACAATAAAAGAATCAAATCATCACAAAAAAAATACTAAACCTGTAGATCCGAATCAAATCTCTAACCTGCTCCTGCCTTGACGCAAAATATCACCACATATAATGAGCTTAAATAGCCCGCAGTGTCAATCAAAGCCTACACTGAAATCAAAGCAACAAAAACGCGAATGCTATCAATAAGCATCAAAAATGGTCAATGATCAATGCAATAAAAAATACCAAGTCAATAAACACGTCAATTCACAGCAATGGCAAATGTAATCAAGCTCAATATAAACGTCAATGAAAAACAGAAGAAATCAAATCAACACCGTCAAATCACGATGTCGAATCAATCAAATCAATAAAAATATAGTGCTGATCAAAATCGAGTCAAGTAATTATCAATCGGGAAAGAGCAGATACAATAAATTTCAATCTAAACCGACTAAATGTAGCAGTCATACAATTGCATGAATCAATAGTACAATGGAATATAAATTCTAGTAAAATAATGAATATATCTATATTCCATCCATAAATCCAATTATTAATGTCCAATATAGTATTTAGATAAAATGAAATCGAGTGAATGACAAAAAATAAAAGTCCGATCAGAAATATGTCAATACAGTAAACGATGCATGTCAAAGATAATAACTGAAAAAAAAACTGGGCTATGGACTTGCTGTTGTGAGAATGCCAATATTGCTGTTGTGATGATAATCTTGCATACTTTAGTGATTTTCAATAACATAGAGTCGTGCACTCTAATTAGCCCGTACACGGCTTTCCGTCGGCATATCCATAAGTACTCCTTATGAACTCTTTCCGATCCTGACTATTTTTTCTATTCAACGAAGGACCATATCTACCACAAAGACAAATCGAAAAAGCACTATTTCAAAATTCACACAGAACTGTTCACAACATCAATATAAGGCTATTTTCTACTGATTCCATATCAAATAACATCTGATATTTTTCTATTCAATTAAAATCGGTGAACGCAATTCGACCAAAGGTCTATTAATTCAATCGTAGGAAAATACTTCAAATCTGTACAATATTTCATATCTATAAACATTCTAAGTTGATGCGCGGAAAGTGTCTCAATTACAAAGTCATTGCAGTCCAAATTCATACTGACGAAATACTAAATAGTGCAATACTCCGCAGTCAACAACATCATATCTACCTGAAAACAGAAAATAGATTGGAGGTCCTATACTGCGGAGACAAACAAATATTTCCAACTACGTTCGTCGGATGCAAAAATGCTGCTCCGTGCGGCCGCATCCGAAATTTACCGACTTTTTCCTTCTTCTTTACTGGTCTTTTGTCTCTTCTTCTGCCGTTTCTTTCTCTCTCTATCCGAATGATTCAATAATATCTCGAATGTCGATGATTTATTAACAGCTTATGTCGCCAGAGTACGAATCGGCAAAATTCGTCCTGAATGATAGATGTAATTAAACTTCATTGGTAAGGATAAAAAAAAAAACTTTTAAAAATTAAATAAAATCAAAACAAGAAAAAATGGGCAGATACATATATATATATATATATATATATATATATATATGAAAAAAATATTGCACCTACCTCTATATAACGTGTCTTGAGAGAAGATCAATGTTTCTTTTGAAATAATTTTCCTACTGTGACAAAATTTTTTAGAAAACAAAGAAAAAGTTGTGGCTAAAAGCTATCACAAATGAAGTCTAATACATTTAAATTTGATAAATAAATTGAAAATGATTGGTTTAGCCAAATCAAGTGACGAATATATATATATATGAAAAAAATATTGCACCTACCTCTATATAACGTGTCTTGAGAGAAGATCAATGTTTCTTTTGAAATAATTTTCCTACTGTGACAAAATTTTTTAGAAAACAAAGAAAAAGTTGTGGCTAAAAGCTATCACAAATGAAGTCTAATACATTTAAATTTGATAAATAAATTGAAAATGATTGGTTTAGCCAAATCAAGTGACGAATCTCACTCAAAATTAGGGATATAAGTGAGCTGAGCCTCTCCAAACTCTAAAACGAATTAGTAGATCAAATTTATAGAACCATAAGCTCAAGTTTTAGCCATTTGTCTATTAGATATAGGGCTATCAATATTTGACACGACCCTAAAACCCGACTCGAATCCAACCCGAAAATTTCGGGTTAGGGTTAACCCAAACCCGAAACGGGTCGGGTTCGGGTTCAACATTTCGACCCGTTTCTGGCCCGAAATTGATCCATTTTTATCTGAAAATTCGATTTTGACTCGACAACCCGATATTGACCCGTTTTTTATCCGAAAAAGAGGAGATAAAATCATTTTGACCCGAAAACTAGCAATTTTTTGTTGAAAACGGGTCGTGTCGGTTTGACCCAAACCCAAAGTGGGTCGAGTTTGTGTCAATAAAACTACTCGTTTTCAAAAACATATCAAATTCGGGTTGACCCGAATAGTGCCGGATCAGTTTTGAGTTTGACCCGAACCCAATCTGTGACCCGAAATTGACACCCCTAATTAGATGGGCAAGTCTTTATGTAAAGTCTAAACTAATAAAATTTAAAAAAAAAAAAAAATTAACAAGTTTCTTATAATCAAGTATTCTGATTTTCATAAAAATAATAAAATAATAAGCCACGTGATTTGGAAGTTGTAACGACTTCTTATAACAATAAAGTAAGGGTTAAAAGGGGATAAAAATTAAGAAGCTTTTCCGTCCAGGTACAGAAAATATGAAAACCGACACGCTTCTCTCCGCCGTCCAAATAGCAGAATTTCCGCTGCCAAATTCGGAATTCCCCAAATTTTAGGAGAATTCCTAAACATAATGGAATCCGGCTTGACAGAACCTTTTCTTGGCGCAGTTTCTTCTTCCCCAACTGATCTCACAGCTCCAGAATCTACGACGATGGCCGGCGAATCTCCGGCATACACCTCTGCCAGCGGCGCCGACGGCGAATCCCTCAACCCCAGAAGCTACTGGAGATTCGCCAAATCCGATTTCTTCCCCGAACCCTCCTTTAGCAGCTGGACCTCTTACCGCTCCGCCCTCTCCCGCACATTCCCCCGTCTCCGCAACCGACTTCTACACCGTTCCTCTGACTCCGATGAGGTAGACGTCCTTCGCCGCCGCAGCGAGAACTCCATGCGCCGCTGCCTCACGTGGTGGGATCTCGGCTGGCTTGGATTCGGATCCGTAGTGGGTACGGGCATCTTCGTCCTCACTGGCCAAGAAGCACGTCTCAACGCCGGCCCCGCCATCGTCCTCTCATACGCTGCCTCCGGCCTTTCCGCACTTCTCTCCGTCCTCTGCTACGCTGAGTTCGCCGTCGAAATTCCCTCTGCTGGTGGATCGTTCTCTTACCTCCGCGTTGAGCTTGGCGACACTGCGGCTTACCTTGCGGCTGCTAACATTCTTCTAGAAGCTCTCGTCGGTGCCGCTGGGCTTGCGCGTTCCTGGACTTCCTATTTCGCAACTCTAATTGGCCGCGATCCTGACGCCCTTCGCATCCACGTTCCATCTCTCGCCGAGGGTTTTAACCTCCTCGACCCCATCGCTGTCGTCGTCCTCATTTCCTGCTCCACTTTTGCCGCCTTAGGCACCCACAGAACCTCCATTCTCAATTGGATCGCCTCAGTCCTTACCCTCTTCGTCATCGCCTTCGTCATTGCCGCCGGATTTGTTAACGCCAAGCCCTCCAATCTTTCCCCATTCCTCCCATTCGGTGCCAGCGGCGTCTTCCGTGCCGCCGCAGTCGTCTATTGGGCATACACCGGCTTCGACATGATGGCGACCATGGCAGAAGAAACTAAGAACCCATCAAGGGACATTCCTATTGGCTTAATTGGATCAATGTCGGCAATCACCGCCGTTTACTGCGCCATGGCACTTGCTCTGGTGATGATGCAGAAATACTCCGAGCTCGACACCAACGCCGCTTACTCTGTCGCATTCGCTGCCGCCGGGATGAAATGGGCCAAGTACTTAGTAGCGCTTGGTGCGCTTAAGGGTATGACCACGGGAATGCTCGTCGGCGCGCTCGGCCAGGCGCGATACACGACGCAGATTGCTAGGGCTCACATGATACCCCCCTTCTTCGCTCTCGTCCACCCGAAGACGGGTACGCCCATCCATGCAACTCTTCTGGTAACTTTGTCCAGCGCCATCATCGCCTTCTTCTCCAGCCTCGACGTCCTCGCGAGTGTGTCCTCTATTAGCACCCTCTTCATCTTCATGCTCATGGCCGTGGCGTTGCTCGTCAGAAGATACTATGTGAGAGAAGTCACTCCAAAATCCAATCTTTTGAAGCTCAATTGCTTGCTTTTCTTGATCATCGGTTCATCTGTTGGGATATCAGCGTACTGGAACTCAGGGGCGAAGGGATGGATTGGTTATGCAATTGCTGTGCCGCTCTGGTTTTTGGGCACGCTTGGGTTGACGGTGGTGATTCCTCAGCAGCGGACGCCTAAAGTGTGGGGAGTTCCGCTGGTGCCTTGGCTGCCATCGGCCTCCATAGTGACTAACATTTTTCTCATGGGATCGCTTGGATACCAGGCATTTGTGAGGTTTGGAATCTGCACTGTGGTAATGCTGGCCTATTATGTGCTAATTGGTGTCCATGCGACCTATGATGTTGCTCATGAGGAAGAAGATGATAAGTTGGAAGGCTTGAAGGTGGAAACTGGCAACCGTGGAGCTTAGATTATAAGATATCAGGTAGCTTTTTATTCCTTTTTTTTTTTTTTTGGTAATTTGGTTGTGTCCGAAATATTGAATTTAAATAATTCTTTGGTATCTACATCATTGAATGATTTCAGATATCTGATAATTAGTTCAATTTCTTGTTATTGATATTAATATTGTGGGTAGATCAGAAAATGGATTCCTATTTGAAGAGTGCATAACCGCATGGATAAGCTCACACTAACCCGTCCATTTTTGGATCCAATTCAGGATTTTCCTTAGGAGGTATTGGGAAGGGATTGGAATGTAAGAATATCGATTCATATAGAAGAAAAGGTTCTCTATTGATTCAAACGCTATACCTATGGGATAGAGGAGGAGGAAAATCCGAAGATTTCACCTAAGTGGTTTGAGGTGGCCTTAACTCCAACACAGCAGAGTGGCAAGGGATGCTCCCGTCGCCATGCCAAGTTGACCCTTAGGGTTCATGAGAAAATTTTCTTAAGAACTTGCACGAGATAGTTTTAATTTTCACTGAAAGAGTGTGAAGCAAAGTGCCATAATGCATGTAAATTTCCTTTATGCTTCACAATCACTGGCAACACGATCGTAGAATAATTCATTTATCTTTATGGGAGTATCAATTGATAGGTTATTTTCTCGATAATTTGTTAAGGTATGCCCAAATTTAAAATAGGTGATTTTAGGAATTAAAAATAAATTATTATTATTTCTTGGCTAGTTAATTTTAAAATTTTACAAAATTAGATATTTTGGATACAATCAAGTCAACATTTTAATCTAATTTTGCTTTTAAATCCGCTTACGTAAAATCCCATAAATATGAGACCAAAATTGGTTGCCACATGCGGCTTTGCATGCATGGCATTACTCTAAGGCTTTGTCTTTTGGACAAACAAGGAGGGCGGAAGTGAATTTCAAGAAAAGAGGTAAAGAGAAGTGAAGAATAAGAAAAAAGAAGAAAAAGATTCTCTATGATCATAAAATACTATCTTGTTATAGTGAAATACTGTCTTTGTCAAGTCTCAAGCCCTGGATGAAAAAAAATGAAAAGTTGCATAAGATAGTCAACAACCTGTGAAAAATTGTCGAACATCATGGCACGAATCATTTAATACATTGTGTTAATGTTAGAGCATAATGTGTAATTGATGTGTTGTATGGTATGAATACAGAGCGAAGCCTGCAAGGGCCGTTGCACCTGTGCCCGAGTGTAGTGTTAAATAAGGGCTCTCACATTATGACAAATGTGGGAAAAGAAGCTAATCCATGAAACTAGAATTAGGATAAGAATTTGGAATATATATTCTCTTACAAACAAATTAATGTAATTAATAGATATTATGATTCATATAAAGATAAATATTTTATACATTCACTAAATGTGTTCGGGAGAAAGATAAGGAGATTGATAGTTTATGATTCAAATTATTGTATTCATGTATGAATCATTTCAGAAATGATCTAAGTGTGATTATACATAAGAGTTTAAAGGATAATATTGTAGAAATTAATAGAATTTGAGATAGAATTATAGTTTTAATATTGATATTGATGGTAAGATTATTAATATTATAAGTGTCTATTGTCACGACCCAACCCGACCGGGACGGATCCCGTTCGCATCGGGCTGCGACACAGCCAACAAATCCAGGATCTGGCTTTGGAATTTGCTTCAGAACTTTCTTCCAAATATAACACAACACAGACAGAAAAACACAGAGCTACTATAAACATACAAACACAGCGCAGTTCATCTATCTTTTCTTTCATCAAAATAATCATATACAGATACAGTACATGGCTTTAGACAGAAGGAACAGAACAGAACAGAAAAGCCATGACTGTACAAAAATTAAAAGTATCAGGTACCTAATCACAGATCAGACTCTGGACTGTTAATCCACGACTTCCTTCCCTTTCCCAGAACCTGAAAACCACGCAGAAAACAAGGATGAGCTAACAGCTTAGCAAAACATCAATCACCAATCAAAATCATCAGAAACTCACATCAGAAAATACATCAGAAAAGTATCCGTACAGAATTCGAACAATCGTACAAAAATCGTACAACAGACAGAACAGATAACAGCTCAATCAGAATCAAACATCGAATACGGAAACTAAAATCTTATCAAATCGGATATCATAAAGCTTTCATATCACAGAGCAGACAGAATCATACGAAATAATCAGAGTCGTACAGAAATCAAAAATCAAATAATTCACAGAACAGATTCCGATAATTCATAAAACAGATCAGATAAGTCACAGAACAGATTATCAAATATCAAACAACAGATTTTAGATAACATCAGATTTCAGATATCCCTGACACAGACAGAATCTCAACGGATTCTGGCCCCTTATGTCTCCCGTTGTGCTTATAGCACCAGAACAGAACAGATAACATAGGTTCCGGAATATTTTCAAATTTCAGAGCTCATTTCAGATTTCAGAATTCCCTGACCCAGACAATGGAAATCACATAGGATTCCGGCCCCTTATAACTCCCTTCTGATAGCACAAACACATCAAATAGTCAAATCATCTTATTTTAAAAAATTCAGAAATCGTATGAAAATTCAGCGGCATAATGGCAGTATACGGAATTTATACAAAATTCACAGATTCAGAAATTTACCAAATTACCACAAAACATTCACAACAACATTATAAGACTTTCATTGTACTGACAAAACATTTTTCAACATCATGATAATTTGCAGTTCAATCAAAACACCGCAGAATCCAAAATGTCCGGTACAAATCTTCTAGAAAATACTCAAAACATGCATAATTAACATCTCAAAGACATACCAAAAGTTACGCGGTAAAACCTTTAGCAGTGCAAAATAAAATCAATTATTCACTAACAGAAACAAATTTCGGAACAGAAAACGCGTCAAAAGTCTCGTTTCTGAAAATTGAGAAAGGCGGAATGTGCCTTACCTCGAGTCGGTTAACTTCTCTAACTACTACAACGAACGAAAACAGACCGGAGTCGCTCAAAAATCCTCTTTTCCTTTTGGGCACGCTTGGGTTGACGGTGGTGATTCCTCAGCAGCGGACGCCTAAAGTGTGGGGAGTTCCGCTGGTGCCTTGGCTGCCATCGGCCTCCATAGTGACTAACATTTTTCTCATGGGATCGCTTGGATACCAGGCATTTGTGAGGTTTGGAATCTGCACTGTGGTAATGCTGGCCTATTATGTGCTTATTGGTGTCCATGCGACTTATGATGTTGCTCATGAGGAGGAAGATGATAAGTTGGAAGGCTTGAAGGTGGAAACTGGCAGTCGTGGAGCTTAGATTATAAGATATCAGGTACTTTTAATGCCCCTTTTTTTTTTTGGTAATTTGGTTATGTGCCGGAAATATTGAATTTAAATAATTCTTTGGCATCTACATCACTGAATGATTTCAATTATCTGATAATTAGGTCAATTTATTGTTATTGATAGTAATTTTGTGGGTAGAGCAACCAAAGGGGTTTGAGGTGGCCTTAACTCCAACACAGCAGAGTGGCAAGGGATGCTCCCGTCGCCATGCCAAGTTGACCATTAAGGTTCATTAGAAAATTTTCTTAAGAACTTGGATGTGATAGTTTTAATTTTCACTGTAAGAGTGTGAAGCAAAGTGCTATAATGCATGTAAATTTCCTTTATGGCTTCACAATATCGGGCAACACGATCTTAGAATAATTCATTTATCTTTCCGGGAGTATCAATTTATAGGGTATTTTTCTCGATAATTTGTTAAGGTATGCCCAAATTTAAAATAGGTGATTTTAGGAATTGAAAATAAATTATTATTATTTCTTGGATATAGTTAATTTTAAAATTTTATTACAAAATTAGATATTTTGGATACAATCAAGTCAACATTTTAATCTAATTTTGATTTTAAATCCGCTTACATAAAATCCCATAAATATGAGACCAAAATTGGTTGCCATATGCGGCTTTGCATGCATGGCATTACTCTAAGGCTTTGTTTTTTGGACAAACAAGGAGGGAAGAAGTGAATTTCAAGAAAAGAGGGAAAGAGAAGAGAAGAAGAAGAAGGAAAAAGAAGAAAAATATTCTCTATGATCATTGGATACTTTCTTGTTATAGTGAAATACTGCCTTTGTCAAGTCTCAAGCCCTGGATGAAAAAAAATGATAAATTGCATAAGATAGTCAACAACTTGTGAAAAATTGTCGAACATCATGGCACGAATAATTTAATACATTGTATTAATGTTAGAGTGTTATGTGTAAGTGATGTGCTGTCTGGTATGAATACAGAGCGAAGCGTGCAAGGGCCGTTGCACCTGTGCTCGAGTGTAGTGTTAAATAAGGGCTCTCACATTATGACAAATGTGGGCAAAGAAGCAAATCCATGAAACTAGAAATTGGAATATAAATTCTCTTACAAACAAATTAATGTAATTAATATATATTATGATTCATAGAAAGATAAATATTTTATACATTCAGTAAACTAAATGTGTTCGGGAGAAAGATAAGGAGATTGATAGTTTATGATTCAAATTATGGTATTGATGTATGAATCATTTCATGAATGGTGTAAGTGTGATTATACATAAGAGTTTAAAGGATAATATTGTAGAAATTAATAGAATTTGAGATAGAATTATAGTTTTAAATATTGATATTGATGGTAAGATTATTAATATTATAAGTGCCTATGCTCCTCAAATATATTTGGATATGTATTCAAAATTAAAATTTTGGAATGACTTAGAAGAATTAATATAATGAATATCTCTTAAAAAATTAATTTTTATTAGATGAGATTTAAATGAGTATGTTGGTAGAGTGATAAATGATTTTAAAGGTATTCATAGTGGTCATAGGTTTGGAGCGATCAATGAAGGTGCTAAGATCATATTAAAATTTTGCTCTAGCTCATAATTTTATAATTGTTAATATCTTATTTAAAAAGGAGATGAGCATCTCATCACTTATAAGAATAGATATGCGAAATCTCAGTTTTATTTTTTTCTTATAAGAAACTTAAAGCATTTAAATTGCAAATATTATAAAGTCATTTTGAGTAAAATTTAATGTACCCAACATCGCTTATTACTTTTTGACTTTAAGATAAAGGGACGAAATTTAAAAAATAAAATAAAATGTCAATCTTGGACTAAGGTATTTAAAGGATGCAAACAAAAATATTTTTAATATTAAGATTGAAGATGTTTGGATTTTTATTGTGCATGAGGAAGGTAATGTTATGTAAAAAAAGTAGCTAGTGATATTAATAATGTTTTAAAGTATGCACTTAAAGAGTATTAAAAAGAAAAACTCATACTAATAAAAATTATCTGTGGTAGAATTAAAATGTGCAAGAAAAGATAAAAATAATAATCTTTGCTTTAAAAATTAGTTTAGATGTAAATGCTCTGAAAATTGAGAAAGATATAAAGGGGACCGTAAGGAGTTTAAGCTAGCAATATGCGATTCAAATAATTTAATTTTTAATAATTTATATAATATATTAGATATTAAATAGGGCAAAAGAAGTTTGTATAAGTTAGTCATGCAAAGAAATAAGATAAGTAAACAAGTTTAGTTCAAGTGAACTTCATTAAGGATGAAAAAAATATATATATTTTTATTAAAAAATGATATTCAAAATAGGTGAATGGGATATTTTGATAAGCTTTTTAATGAAGACTGTAAGAATATGATGAACTTATGTGACTTTAGCAGCTAAATGAAAATAAATATTTTTTATTGTTGTATTAGTAAAATTGAAGTTAGAGAGGCTTTAAAGAAAATCCAGTGTGAAAAAACAGTTGCACCTAATGATATTCTAATAGAGGTGTGAAAATGCTTTGGAGATGATGAAATTTCTTGGCTAACTAAACTTTTTAATATTATTTTGAAGACTAAAAAGATGTCAGATGAGTGGAGGAGTTTGTAGGTTCCTTAAGGTGGTGCACAAGAGTGTGTGAATCATAAAGGAGTTAAGTTAATATTTCATACACTAAAACATAGAGAGGGAAATTGAGCATAAGTTACAACATGATACTAATATTTCTCGAAGTCAATTTGGATTCATATCGGGTAGGTCTACAATGAAAGCTATATATTTATTGAGAGGTTTGATGGATAAACATATAGAGAAAAAAGAGGATCTATATATGATATTATTAATTTAGAGAAGCATTTGATAAAGTTTCAAGAGAAGGGCTCTAGAGAGTTTTAGAAACTAAAGGAGTTAATAATGCTTATATTCAAGTGATTAAGGATTTGCATGCAGGAGCTATTGCTTGTGGTCAATCACAATGTGGTTTGTCCAAGTATTTTCATATTTTGTTTGGATTACGTCAATGATCATCTTTAGCCCGTATCTTTTTGCTTTAGTCCTGGATGTTCTTACTAGACATTTGCAAGATGATGTACTATGATGTATGTTTTCTGCTGATGATATTCTTCTTGTTGATAAAACTAGAGACGGACTTGAAGGTAAACTTGAATTATAGATGTGGACTTTAGAGTCTAAAGGTTTTCATTTGAGTGGATATAAAACTGAATACATTAATTGTAATTTTAGTTGTAATATATCTACTGAGGGGATTGTGATATTGGGCGATCAAGTCATTAAAAAGAGTACACATTTTAGATATCTCTGATCCATTGTTAAAAGTGATGGCGAAATAGTTAAGAATATTATTAGTAGAATTTAAGTTAGATGGTTTAAGTGGAGGAATGCATCGGGCCTATTGTGTGATAGAAAAGTACCCCTCAAACTTAAGGCAAAATTCTATAAGATGGTGGTGAGACTAATGCTTTGTGGTGCAGAATGTTGGCCATTAGAAGAGAAGCATAAAATTAAGTTAAGTGTTGCAGAGATGAGAATGCTCAGGTGAATGTGAAATGAGTTTATACGTGAAAATATTGGAGTAGCTCTAGTGGCAGATAAAGATTAGAGAGAGTCACCTTAAATATTTCGATCACATTAAATGTCGGTCTTCCGATGATCCCAATTAGAAAGTAGATGTATTAGTCTATGATAAGAAAGGTAGAGGTAAACTTAAAAAGACTTGGTTAGAAATCATTATAAATGAGCTTTTCTATTATATTTAAATGAAAATTTGACTCTTAATAGGATACAATGGAGAAAAAAGATTCATGTAGCGAATACCACGTAGTGGGATAAAGGCTTGATGTTGTTGTATTGATTGTTTGTTATTCCTTCATTTGTGTGACTTAAGAGATTTGAGTTTTTTCTTTTGTGTGGTTAGATTAAATGCACATTAGTTTAAAGAAGAGTCTTTTTTATGCCCATTTTATTTGTTCACATGCATGGCTCTCTAGTTTAAATCCATTCTCCTCTCACATGGTATTGTTTACCTAGAATGTTAGTAAATTATTGCTTGATTTTATAAAAAAAAAAAAAGTCTTGTTGTTCTTTTAGATAACTTAACACACTCCAGGACAAATAACATGTCATTGATTTAATTTTTGGATTATTGATGTGAAACATACAAGTGAACAAGAATTGCTTTTGGAAATTAATTAATAATTTGAACTATAACTTTGCTAATTAAAACTCATGTTTCACCAAATCGGATTCTTAGAATTTTCTATTAGAAGATTAAGTAATAGCAAGCGATTACAAAGGAGAATAACAAGACAATTGCAAGTAACAACAAAAATAATATAATAAAACTAATAGCAATGAAACAAACATCCACGGTGTAACATCAAGAAGTGTTCACCCTGTCTTCCTTCACTCTTGATCTTAAAGTTGGGGCTTAGCGAAGAAAGGGTAGAAGCAACCCTAGTGATACCACCACAAGACAAGTGACGTGTAGGGTCTTGTTCGTCGGAGAAGTAGCCGAAGGAAGAGAGGTTGTTGGTCGGGCAACGATTTGCCAATGTCCCGTGGGTCGTTGCCCTTCTATCGTCTCGGCGAGGCAATAGAGTATGCGGTTGACGTAGCTTTCCAGTAAATCTTCGTTGTCTTAATCCGGATCATAGAAAGGAGAAAGCAAGATGTCAATTTCTCCTTGAGCGTTGTAGGCGAATATGTGGTCGACCTCAGGGTCGGCCATACACCAATGGTAGAAGGGAGGAAGGAGCCTATCTGCTTTTCTTGGCTCCAAAATTCATGAGAGATTTAGAGTTTCTAAGAGAGATGAGGAAAGGGGAAGGGCCGGCCAAGGAGAGAGAGGGGGAAAGGCTTGGGTTATGTGGGATATAGGTTTAGGGTTTATGAGGAGAGATTATTAATAAATCTTAAATTAATTTCAGATTTGAATAGTTTGGAAGGGAATTGAATTTGAAAATTGAATTCAAATTCAAA